CAGCGCTATTGGCACCAGGAACTCGGATCGTGTTACCCGAAATCAGCCTCCTGCCCTGTATTACGAATCGGTGGCAGCGGTGAGCTAAGTCCTCCACGTTACAGTTGTACACTACATTCTGGCGAGTTTTAAAGTGCGCGCGACCGCCTAGTGTCTCGTTGCCCGAGGTAGACAAAAACACTCGTGGGAGTCGTAAACGTTTATTGCAGAGTACCGAAACGTGCCAAGGTGACGCTAAACAATGCAAGCAATAAATGCAGTAGCAGAGCGATAGCGCGTCACACGTGTAGCGTGGGTTTGAACAGGACCCAGCTTATATATACGTCTGAGCGGAAAACCTTGGTAAAACAAACAGAAGTAAAACAAAGAAAATATCACAGTTCGAGTCAGAGTTGATTGTGGAGAAAATATGAACGGAAAACGTCCTCGTGGATTGCCCCTTTTCTTCGTACAATCATGGTCACTACAGAAGTAAAACAAAGAAAATATCACAGTTCGAGTCAGAGTTGATTGTGAAGAAAATATGAAACGGAAGACGTCCTCGTGGATTACTCCTTTTTTTCGTACAATCCGGTCACTATATCACTGTCCTATTGAGAGACCCTGACGTTTATTGACGTGACCTAATTCCTGAGCTGTCTAGTTGCTCCTCACTCAGGCTGATAGACTCGGTAATCGGATAAGCCAGAGGCTGAGTGGACGTTTTCTTTTTGGCCTGCCTACAGTGCGAACATACATATTGCATTGCTTCTATAGGATGAGCAACAAAATGTTATATATATATCAATATTCACTATTTTGTCACCATTGGTTACACATGTAGCAGCTCAGAGCTTTGATTTTGCTCAAGACTGCTGTTTGACATCTTATACAGTTCGAGGTCACTAGGTTGGTCGTGCTTAGCACACTGGGCGTGATATTCAGTTTCGCCATATCTATTTTCGGTGCCAATAAATTATCTATATAAAAGCAGGTAATTCTATAAGGAGTTAATAACAATGATAGATGCAATAGATGTTAGACAACACTAGTGCGCAGTTAAAAAGTATTAGAACGACACCGCGTGGATTGTGTTGTCGGAATGATTCCCCGTTTTGTTGTTTTGTTTGGTCTCGTTGCCTGCCACGTCAGTTTTATTCAGCGATCCTCCGTGTAACTTCCGAATCTCTTCAGATAATTCCCTCCTAATTTAATTGTTCTTCCTTGCTCCGAAATTCAAACGGGCATTCACGGATTCACGGGATTCACGGGCTTTGGAACCGAAATTTTCGTCCCTCTCCTTTTTGTGAACTGTAGATACGGGAGATATACGGGTCGTTGGCTTGATCATTACCCAATTCTGCCTCCTTCGTTGTCAATAGAGCTACGTTTACCTAGTGATGAATCCAGGATGAAGCTTCGGCGTTGGAGTGGCGCAATCCAGGTAGGTGCTCACAGGTGAATTCATAATCCTGCAGCTTTTCAGTCAGGAAATTATGGACTACTTTTTACAGTGGTGGGTTCCGAAATTGACCGCATACCATTGTGGCCTTTTTCTTTCCTGTATCAAATGAACTGAACTGAACTTTTCTTTGTTTGAACGATCTTTCGGTTTCTGGCGCCCACTTTAGATTGCATCGTGTTTGAGGAGCAATGCAGAACGACGCCGGTGAGTTCGTTGATATCTATTTGCCGCGGCGTTGCGCTGTTACAAATCGGCTGATTGGAGCGAAAGACCATGCTTCCATCCAGTTACGCTTAGTTGAGCTTGATCCGACAACCGGGCGTATGACAAGTGCCATCAAGACGTACGACATTGCCGGCGATGTTCGATCTATGGTAAGTTTTTTACTTTTGGCGTCCTTATAGTGTTTAGGGTGAAAGTGATGATTCCATTAATCGGCTTGCTGTACGCGACGGGATGCTTCCCCAGTAAGCTTCGTTTGCAGCTCATCCATTGTTTTAGGAGCTTTTTAGATCGGAGTTAATTGCAAATCATGATTTTTCAAACCCTTAATAAAAGGATCTTGAAACCCAACTATTTTTCCTTTGTTAATCGTTGGGAAAACAATGCATGACGAAGGCTAGCACTTGCATAGTTACGGAGGGATTCTCATTTCCTAACCCAATCCAAGCTCCGGCCGCGCTAATAGAAATGAAAAATCAAATCCGTATGTAAGTGCACTTCAGATGAATCCACAGTTCACAAGGGTGACGCTTTTGGTTTCGAAAACTTAAATTTTATGACCCAATTATTTTCTTATTGCCTGAGAGTTAAAAGATAGGGACCATGCTGCCCAAGTGTTATGAGCAATAAAAGTGAGTCAGCCATATACAGTTGTCATGGAATTTCCCCCTCCAGATTGGCCCTTGAGATCGCACTGCCTCATTGATCGCAGTAACCACTTGATGATCTGCTGAGAAGTCCATTGTGCCAGGGCCGAAGGCTCAACTACAGTTGAACTGATGGATGACCCGCGTAGCATAGAAGGGCTGTTTGCTGTTTTCACTTCCCGTTAGAAGTCCCCGGACATACGTAACCTGTCGATACTGATC